AAAAAAAAAAAATAATAATAATAATAAAATAAATAAACAAACAAAAAAGGCTGGGCATGGTGGCTCATGCCTATAATCCCAGCAATTTGGGAGGCTGAGGCAAGTGGATCACCTGAAGTTGGCAGTCCGAGACCAGCCTGACCAATATGGATAAACCCTGTCTTTACTAAAAATACAAAATTACCATCCTGCCTAACACGGTGAAACCCTGTCTTTACTAAAAATACAAAAAATTAGCTGAGGCGTGGTGGTGTGCACCTGTAGTCCCAGCTATTTGGGCAGCTGAGGCAGCAGAATCGCTTGAACCTGGGAGATGGAAGTTGTAGTGAGCAGAGATCATGCCACTGAACGCCAGACTGGGTAACACGGCGAGGCTCTGTCTCAAAACAAAACAAAGCAAAACAAAACAAAAACCACACACAGGATTAGCTGGGTGTGGTGGTGCATGCCTGTCATCCCAGCTACTCGGGAGGCTGAGGCAGGAAAATCAGTTGAACCAGGGAGGCAGAGGTTGTGGTGAGCAGAGATTGCGCCATTGCACCGTTTCAGCCTGGGCCGTAAGGCTGTGAAACTCCATCTCAAAATTTAAAAAAAAAAAAAAAAGGAAAGAAAATTCAAGACCTTGTGAGCTCAGGTGGGTGAGAGTAGGTGAGGAATTGACAGGAAGGACTGAGGCGGCTGGTCCCATCAGAGATCAGCTGGCTTTGGGTGGGGACCAATCCCAGGGGCCACTTGTATCCTGAGAGGACGCTGAGCATGCCAGGCAAGGATGAAATGTTTGGGATTCTGGCTGAGAGGAGGTAGCTCCCTGCCCCTTGGGTGTCCACAGGATGGGGTGCCTACAGGATGGGGTGCCTGTGTCACCCCTGCCAGCTCAGGGCAGCTTCTTTGGCCCTGGCTTCAGCTCCCCTGACCCCTGGAGCTCTGCCTGCCTGATGTCTGAGGCCACACCCATTGGGCCTCCTGCCTGCCCCCACACCCTCTGTGGGTGCCCAGCTCCCCTGCCCCTGTCTGCCCAGACTGGCAGCCAGGGTGCCCACCTAGACACACTCTTCGAGGGGCAGAGGATGAACAGTGCCATGCGGCCCCTAGGCTGCTGGCTGGCTCCTGTCCCTCAGCCAGCCCCACAGGCACCCAAGCCAGGGGCCCAGGCCAGGGCACTCACTCGATGGTTTCCCAGCACGTAGAAGATGTGGCCCAGGAGCACGAGGGAGCAGGCCGTGAGCCGGTTCAGGTCCTCGGCATTGGACATCTTCAGAGTTTCCCGCAGAAATCGCCTGACAAGGAGAACGCAGACGCTGACGCCTACAGGACGGGGCCTGGGCCACCCTGAGCACAGCCCACCTGCTGCCCTCTGCCCTGCACTCACTTGGCCTCATTGTAGCGTCCCTGGAAGAAGGAGAAGAGCCCGCGCACATAGAAGGCAGCCGCTCGGAGGCAGTGTGAGCTGCAGGGAGAGTGCAGCGTCACGTGGGGTGGGGATTTAGATAAAGCAGCAGGTTCACAAAACGGCAGTGGGCAGGCGGCAAGGGAGGGATTTCCAAGAGCCCCCTGCTGCAGACTGTCTGTGAGGAGGGGTGTGGGGTGTCAGGGTGCAAAAGGCAGTCGGAGGCCCCACTCAAAGAGCACTGGGAGCCTAGGCCATGTGTGGAGTGGCGCCTGGAGCGGCTCACCTGACAGGGAAGCTGTGGTCTGGGTTGATCCTCTCCAGCAGACTGTAGAGCTAGGGGAGGAAGAACCAGTCAGCACCATTCTGCATTTTCACAGGCGAAAGGTCCCCCCCACGCACTGCAGTACACGGGCATTTCTCTACACTCCTGTAGGGACTGTGGCTGATCAGGTAGAGCCTGGTGACTGACCAGCAAGAGTGGTCTCTGGTGAGAAAGGCCAGGCGCAGGACCCTCACACCCTCAACCTGCCCTGCCTGTGCCACCCTGTCCTGTGGTAGGTGACGGAGGCCTGGGTGTCCAGGAAGTCTCTGTGTGGTCAGAGTGACGATGAGGGGCAGTGGGCAGATTGGCAGGCTGGGGCCCATGAGCCCTGTGGGCTGGTGGGGGTGAATGGAATTTCTCTGGAGGTGCGGGGACCCCGTGAGGCTCTGATGGGGGCGTGATCTAGTATTTTAGATGCCCTCTGGCTGCAGAGGCTCAGGGGAGCCAGGCTCCTCAACACTGCGAGCCCACATCTTGCATCAGATGACCCAGCCAGGGCTGGATCATGGCTCGCTGTAGCCTCAACCTCCTTAGCTCAAGTGATTCTCCTGTCTCAGCCTCACAAGTAGTTGGGACCACAGGCCTACACACCCATACTGGGTCATTAAAAAAATTTTTTTGTGGAGATGGGGTCTCACTATGTTGCCCAGGTCTTTAACTCCTGACCTCAAGGGATTCTCCTGCCTTGGCTTCCCAAAGTGCTGGGATTACAGGCATGAGCCACTGCCCCAGGCCTGAGACACTTTGGAGGCAGACTCCAAGGGTTCAGAGATACTAGAACTGAGGGACATCCTAGGGCTGAGCGGGATCCCAGGGCTGAGGAGGGAATTCCAGAGCTGAGGGGGATCCCAGGGCTGAAGAGGGAATCCCGGGGGCTGACAAGAGGATCCTAGGGCTGAGTGGGGATCCCAGGGCTGAGGAAGATCCTAGGGCTGAGAGGAACTGCAGAGGGGACCTGGCTCTTGTGAGCACTGGCTCAGAAGTCCACGTGAGGGTGCTTGGCCTATGAAGACAACCCTGGGCACCCCTACCCAACACTCAAGCCAGTGAGGGCCCCTGACCCTGCAGGGGCACCAGTACAACCTGGGGACAAGGTGCCCCAGCTGCTGCCCCTTAGGACTGGGCCTCAAGGCCTGGCCGACATCCTAGAGCAAAATGCTTGGGCTACAAGACTTTGTGGGATTCATACAGTTGGTTTCTTTGCCAGAGAGAGGTGTTCTGTGGCTATAGGAATGTTGTTGTCCCAGACCTGGCCTCCCTCGATCCACCTCTGGGTCACCCTGTGTGCCTCTTTGTCAAGTGCAGCCCATCCCTCAAAAGGTGAACACCCTGGGGTTTGCTGTTTGCTGAGATTTGCTGGTGCCCAGGACAACCCTCTGGTTCCCCAAAAAGAAGAGAACGGAGAAAGGATACCAAACATGAAGCATGTCACCTACTACCTCTTGGTGCCTATTTCCTTCCCGTATATACACACTCGCCAGGTTGGTGACGATGAAGGCCCACAGCTCCTGGTGGTTGGTGAGCTGGAACGGGAGACAGGGACATCAGGAGGCTGGGCCGGGTTCTGCGATCCACATGGCAGTGTCAGAGCCACCCAAAATCTCCACAGAGACTACTTCAGAAAAGACTTGTTCTTTTCATTTCAAATACACTTGCCTTGCCTCCTAAACCCAAGGGTAACACAGCTATCAATTCTTCTCATTATAAACCATTGTCTGCCTTACGGAGCAGTTAGAGAACAGAGAAAAGGAAAACCGGAGGCCGGGGGCAGTGGTTCACGCCTGTAATCCCAGCACTTTTGGGAGGCTGAGGCGGGTGGATCACGAAGTCAAGAGGTCGAGACCATCTTGGCCAACATGGTGAAACCCCATCTCTACTAAAAATACAAAAAATAGCTGGGTGTGGTGGCATGCGCCTGCACTTATGAAGTCCCAGCTACTCAAGAGGTTGAGGCAGGAGAATTGCTTGAACTGGGGAGGAGGAGGTTGCAGTGAGGTGAGATCACACCAGTGCACTCCAGCCTGAGTGACAGAGATTCTGTCTCAAAAAAACAAACCAGCCACGCCGATCCCATCCTCAGAACATGTTGGGTTTTGGTCCATTTTCTGCTGTCTCTCAGGACGGAGCCCTGGTGGACACTTCCTCCAGGCCACAGCCAGCAACCTGTGGGACCCAGGTGTCCACTGCCATCGAGGTACATGCTGGTCCTGGGCGGGGCTCACTCTTCATGGGGGGAAGAGGGGAAGAGGGGAGCTATTGTCCCAGAGGGGACCAGCACAGGCCCCGCTCCAGAGGTGGGTAATGCTATATCGGGGGCCAGGAATGCTGAGGATGACAGGCGGCGGATGGACAATGGCCCCTGGCTCTTGCTGGGAAATGAGATCATCAAGACAGGGACCACTCTATGCGGCTCAAGCCCTGCCCAGACCCTGGTTCCCAGTGGTGCTGGGCAAGAAGTGGAGTGAGCCCAGGAAGTACAGACCCCACCGGCACAGACCCTCTCCTGTAGCACAGCCAGGAGGTCCAGAGGATCTCCTGAACCAAGCACGGAGGCTCTGAGACACGGCAAGGTGGGGGATATTTGTTGCAGGGCCACAGGAGGCGGCGCGTGTGTTCGGGGTTAGCGGGGTTGGGGTTGCATCCTGGCCACATCACTCCTGGGTGGGCCATGAAAAAGAAGCTCTTTCGACCCTGGGGTGAGGACTCCTTAGGGTACATGGCCTTGGGAAGCTTGATGTGGAACCAAGCCAGCAGCAGCAACCACTTATGGGGAGTGAGACGTAGATAGCGATGGCAGGATGGCGAGGCACGAAGGGAATCCTGGCCCTGCTGCAATCAAAGTGGGCCACAGTTCTGGGAGCGAGGCGAGGGGGCAAAGGAGTGGGTGCCGAGCCAGCCCTTCCCACCTAAGCATGCTGTCTGCATGTCAGGGCTCCTGTGCACCTGAGGCCAGTGGCAGGGGTGGCAGTACCGACAGTCAGGGCGCACACAGGACTCCCTGGTGACCTTGCTTGAGTGGCAGACAGAGCAGCCCCTGCTCCCTGACACCTCTCCTCAGGGCCCTTCCTACAATCACCAGGAAAAAGGCACCCATAGCCCTATTTCCTGTGAGGAGGTTGAGGCTGAGGTGGGGACACGATGGTCCCGCTCTGGGCTTCTTCCAGGGCCTGGCATGGCCCCCGTCTCAGGCCAGGAGTCCTTCTCTGCCCACAGAGCACCTGGGGGGTGGCCCAGCTCCATCACTCTCCAGGGGAGCCCTGAACCCAGGGTGGCTCTGAGTCGTCAGCTGACACTGGAGCCAATCCAGCCTTGGGGGTGGGTGCCGCAAGAGCTCCCACTGAGGCACTAAAGTAGCGTCCCCAGACATGTCATACCTCTCCCTCATGTCTGCCCTCAGGTCAGCTCAGGAAGCCCCTGGCCCCATGGCACCCCCTTATCTGGATAAACAGTGTGTCACTGCCAGGGCTGGCAAAGGCTGATGACTGTGCATCGCCTCTGGTGCTGTGGCTTTGCGTAGCTGACCCAGCACAACAGCTGTCCTCATCACAGACCACACCCGACTCCTTACTCAGAAGTGTGGCCTGCCCCAGCAGCAAGGAGGGCCGGCACCTTACCCGAAGGGCTGTGGTGAACTGGGCTTCCGCGTTGTCCATGCAGTTGACAGAGACACAGTACAGGCCCTGGAAGAAGGTGGTGTTGTCATCAGGGCCGGCCCCCAGGGAGGTCCCACTGAGGACACAGATCAGAGACCATTCGGTGTGCCCGGGGCCTATATGGCTGCCCTGGAGTATGACAATGGCTCTACCGAGTCAGCTGCGAGGCAGGTAACACGCTCACTGTCCCTGTCTTTCAGACCCAAGCCAACGTGGGGTGGGACAGGATGCTCACTGGAAGCATTCCAGATCCTGCCTGGGGAGGTTACATGATTACCTATGGGAACATTCCAGATTCCGATTAGGGTGCTGTCAGGGGGTTCTTCGCTGGGAATGTTCTCGATCTGGTTAGGTGCTTACTTACTGGGAACATTCTGGATTCTCCTGGGGTGCCGTCACGGGGTTACTCACCAGCAGTGTGTGCAGCTGTGCTGCATGGTTGGAGAAGAGCCGGGGGGACTGCTGGCACAGCTGGCAGACCTGGGAGATCTGCCGGGAGAGTGTGTGCTGCCGTCACAAGACTGCAACCTGGGACCTGGCGTCTGAGCAGCACTGGGGAGACCCCATACCTGGTGGGTGAGCCCATGTCCCGTCTGCCCAAACTGGGGTACAAAGCCCCAGCAGACACATCCCCCATGAGGGCAAAGGGCAGCCTGGACCCCACTGTGGACAAGGACCCTTGTCTGTTACTCGCCTCCTCCACCCTGTCCAACAGGTGTCTGGGCCGTAAAGGATCTCTGGCCTACTCAAGGCCCCCATCCCCTCTCAGGAGGGTGGGCACTGGGGGTAGAGAGCGTTCCTAACAGCAGGGTGGGGTATAAGAATCACTATCAAGGGACCCCCAAATTTCCAGAGACCATGTATGCTATTCTCTTGGCATGCAAGCTTTTAAGCCATGGCCCGTTAGTTTGTTTGGTTTTTTTTTTTGAGACGGAATCTCACTCTGTTGCCCAGGTTGGAGTGCAGTTATGGTATGATCTTGGCTCACTGCAACCTCCACCTCCCAGGTTCAAGTGATTCGCCCGCCTTAGCCTTTCAAGTAACAGTGGGATTATAGGCGCCTGCCACCACACCTGGCTAATTTTTGTATTTTCAGTAGAGACGGGGTTTCGCCATGTTGGCCAGGCTGGTCTCAAACTCCTGACCTCAATGATCCACCCGCCTCAGCCTCCAAAGTGCTGGGATGACAGGCATGAGTCACCACACCTGGCCTCCACTAGTTTTTGTATGAGATTCTCTGATCAGTGGTGCCTATGCAGGGCTGAGAAACGCTGGGTGACAGCGAGACAGCAGGATGGGCTAGCGTTGGCTGAACTGGCCAGTGGGCACTTGGCGAATTCAGTCTCTTGTCTGACACTGCTGAAACCCAACAAACTCCTGGGCCTTCCCGCCCCTTGTGCACCGCCTAGCCTTACCTCCTGAAGCGCCGTGGCCTTGTGGCCTGTGACGAGGCGGCACATGATGATGTGCTCCAGCAGGATCACTTGGAAGGACGACAGGATGGGGCTGCAGTCCAGCACTGCGGGCGACAGCCGGGGATGAGCAGGCAGGGGAGGCTGGAGGAGGCACCACCCCCAGCCCCCCACACCCCCACCTCATTCCTGTCTCCTGCCATACTGGCCAGGCACCCACCCCGTCATCTCCCCAGTCCCCACTACCCACTCTAAGTGAGGGAGTATGTCTTGGTGTCCATGTGAGAAGATGGAGCGGGAGCTAGAGGTTGGTTCCCACAGTGTTCCAAGAGGGGTCGGCTCTGACCCTGACCCCTCACCCTATATGCTCAATAGCTTGTGGACACAGCAGGTTCTAGAAATGTGGAAACCACCGTGGATCATGAGACCATGCAACAGATCCTCAGGCAGGGGGTGGGGGGACCTGGGCTGGGCCCTGCCTCAAGACAGCCCCAAGCAGCCAACCTCACACGGGAACAGGACAAAGAGCAGCACAGGCCTCTCGGGCTCCAAGCTGGCTTGGCTCTGAGGCCTTCTGCCCCAGCAGCACTCATGAGGGTGCAAACAGGCAGACTATCAGGCACACTGCACCGGCCGGAGATATCTGCTCTGGGTTTGTGCTAGTCAAAGGTCCCTGGACGGATCAGACAGTTGAGCTTTTGGAAAGAACTCAAGACTTCCAAAGGACATGCTGGTGGTCAGTGAGGACTAAATTCTAATCCCGGCCTCATTTCAAGTGTCCCAATCATAACATTGATAATAATCGGGAAAAGCAGCCACCATCTATTTCAACTGAGCATACCTGGACACAAGGGCCCTGACCACCCAGGGGGGTACCTCCCACCCCTGGCCGGTCTGCTCTGCTCCGATGCTGGTTACCAGCATTTATCAACCGGGGTGATGAGACCTACCAGGCAAGGCAGCGCAGTCACACAGGGTCACTGGGACTTGGCACAGCCAGCATCTGGCCAGGCCGTCCGCCAGGGGGCACCGTGGCCACGTGGCCAGCCGAGCACCTGACTTACTCTTGAGCTTCTCCAGCTGCATGAGAGCCTTGTCTGTGTACTTCTGTGCCTTCTCCAGGTAGCCCGCCTGCATGGAGTGCATCACAGTCACCTGGTGACAAGACCAGACAGCAGGGGTTACCAGGACCGTCTCCCTCTCCCCGCCCCTGCCCCCAGCCCTGGCCCCAGCAGGACGCACCAGGTAGACGAGCACACACATGTGCTCCTTGGGCAGCCAGTGGAAGAGGTCGGCGGGGTTGCTGGGCAGGATCTCGTCATCGTGCAGCGTGGAGATGGTCTGGATGCACTGCTGCAGCTGCTTCAGACACGGCTTCACACTCTTCACCTGCGCGGCACCCACACCTGAGTGCCCACCTGAGCCCGGCCTCTCAGGAGGCCAGGTCCAGCCCAGCCACCCCTGCCCCTTCCTCCAGGGAGCACCTGCCTTCCCCTTCTGCCATGGCCACCTCCTGCAAGATGGACCGACCCCCACCACACTCCCATGGATCAGCTGGGCTCTCGGGGCAGGGCCAGGCAGGCAGCTATGGGACTGAAGTTTGTCCACTGTCCAGTGCTGGGCCCAACACCAAGGCTCAGGAGAGGCCTGTCCAGACCCTGCTGGAGCTGCTCCTGGCCTTCCTGTAGCCAGACCCGTGTGCTTTGCAGGGGGTGGGAGGTGGCTTCCTGGCCCAGAAGTCTCACAGGCGCTGTGGCTCCTACTGACTGGCCCATCTCATCCTGAAGCCCCGAGGGACGTCTCTGCAGCCCTGGCACCCCGAGAGAAGTGTGGCTACAGTCTGCTCTGTGTCCCTATGTGCCAAGTGCAGTGCTTCACCCAATGGGCAATGACAGGTATGGATGGGGGAAGTGGGGAACCCCCTTACCAAGCCCTGTGGAGAGGCTCGCCTGCAGCCCATGGCAAGAGGGGTAGGTCTGAGGGGCACAGGGCAGCTCCCAGCCCCTGAAGGGTCAAGGCTGTCACACAATCAGAGACGAGGAGCTCAAACACAGCCGTTCCCCACTCATGGTGGGGTCACAGAGTCCAGTCTCGGACACGGCTGAGCACATCAGTCCCTGCTCAACCCCACAGCAGGGGGCCCAGACAGATACCACTTGGGCATCTGCTGTGTACAGGCACCACCCCAGCACATCCATGCTTTATTCTCATGATTCCCTGAACTGCAATTGGAATCTCTGAGCGTCCACACACTGAGTATATGCAATGTCACACATCATACTCCCAAAGGGTGGTGGGGTGGCCAGGACAGACCATGCTTCCTGGCACCAGCACACCAGGCAGGCACAATGGTGCCCACACTCGCACCAGAGCAGGCCAAGAGTGTGTGTGTCCAGGGCCGGAATGACAGCCCTGCTGTGTGACAAGGTAAGGCCATGACACAGCTGACCTCACAGCCCAAGACCCATTGGCCTGGGTGCCACCCATACCCACTGGTTGCAACCATCAACTCGCCCGAGAGGCGCCACACACCTGCCCAGCATCCAGATAGTGGGTGACCTGGAGCACCAGGAAGAAGACACGCAGCGACTCTTTCTGGATGGGGTTCCCCTGCCAGTTCTCCACGATCTGCCCACAGAGGGTCAGCAGTGGGTGCACCTCCTGTAGTTTGCGCTCCATCAGCAGCAGCTGGGGAGGGAGAGGTGCAGGCATGGGGTACATGGCTTGCAGGGGCCCTCCCTGGACCAGGAGCACAGGGCTGCCCACTTGCCCTGGGACTGCTGCCACCAACCCAGAGGGCAAGGCCAGCCTGAAACCCCGGCCCAGGCAGCTCCTAACTAGGATTTTGCCTCAGCATGAATCCCACGGGGTGGAGCCTGAGCTTCCCTCCTGAACCCTGCAAGGCCCAGGCCTCACCCTCTAGGCTGCTCACTGTGCCTGAGGGTCTGGGTGCCTGAGGGGCGACGCCATGGAGAGCGAGTGGGGTCTGAGCAGACTCTGCGGGGGCCCTGCCTCACCTCCACAACACCAGCCGCATCCAGTCATGCCCAACCTCAACTTACCATCCCCTTGCTGAGGAGGAACAGCGCCCTGCAAAACAGAGGCGGGGGTCAGGTCCCAGAAGGCCCAGGGGCCTCCCGGGATGACTGTGACTGCCCCAAGGCTCACAGGACCTAATGTGCCACCTCGGGAGACAGTTCAGTGGACAACAGTAAATGGTCCCGATGAAGTTTGTTATATTTACAAGACTGCTCTATTTTATCCTATTGTATCTATATATTTTTTTAGACAGAGTTTCGCTCTGTCACCCAGGCTGGAGTGCAGTGGTGTAATCTTGGTTCACTGCAACCTCTGCCTCCCAGGTTCAAGCGATTCTCCTGCCTCAGCCTCCTGAATAGCTGGGATGTGCCACCACGCCCGGCTAATTTTATTTTTAGTACAGATGGGGTTTCACCATATTAGCCAGGCTGGTCTCGAACTCCTGACCTCAAGTGATCTACTACGCCCAGCCTATATTTATTTTTCTTGCATAGCTTAGATGCACTCATGTGAAAAATCCAGAAAGTGGCCGGGTGCAATGACTCATGCCTGTAATCCCAGCACTCTGGTAGGCCAAGATGGGCAGATCACTTGAGGTCAGGAGTTTGAGACCAGCCTGGGCAACATGGTGAGACCCTATCTCTAGAAAAAAACTTGGCAGTGATGGACACACAGGGTGGGGACCAGTGGGCAGGCTTGAACGTCAGGCTCAAACCTGCACCTCATGGTGCCTAATTTTTGGATTTTTTGTAGAGATGGGGTTTCACTATGTTGCCCAGGCTGGTCTTGAACTCCTGGGCTCAAGTGATTCTCCTACCTTGGCCTCCCAAAGTGCTGGGAATATACTGTGAGCCACCACACCTGGCCTGAAATGCCATTTCTATTCTTTGTCCTGGACCAAGATGGTCAAGCCCCTTCTATGTTAAGAGAACAGGAGGGAAGGAGGGGAACGGGTGCCTACCGTGTGTACTCGGATCCCACCACCCGGGCGTACTCGGCCCCCACACCCAGGAGGTCGCAGGCTGACACAAGGTCCTTCTCAAGCGTGTGCAGTTGCTAAAAAGCAGAGAGAGCAGTGACTTTTGCTGCCAAACCCATCAGTTTTATGGTACCTGGCCTTTGTACTTTGTTAGCAAACTCAACCAAACCTCCCCGCCTCAATGAAACTGGCTGTGTCAGTTCTGAGCGATATTAACCAAATTATCTCAACATTGCTTTGGGTACACAGCTCCAGTTGGCCTGTGATATACATGTCATCTAAACTCAATGGTGCCTGCAGTAGGCACTGTCTAAACTTAATGGAGCATAGAACCAGCAGCCAAGGCTCATGTCACAGAGCCTCAGGGCTGTGTGAGCACCTAGGGCTGTTCTGAGCGCTTTGTGGGTGCCTGTGGGGTCCGTCTTCAGTGGGATGTCAGTGTGCTCCAGGGCCTACAAGGAGGGACTCCCTCAGAGGCAAGTGTGAAAGCCTCAACAGGTTGAAAAGGAGGCACATGCCTGGTTTGACCCTGCAAGGCAACACCTGCGGGGCCATGGTGGAGAACTTGACCCCTAGGTGCGCCTGCCAACTCTGTGACCTTGGGCAGGTGACTCACGGCCTGACCTGCTCCTTTGTCTGCTAATGGGCACAAGTGTGCACGGGGAGATAGAAGAAGACAGCGTATGCACGTGGTTTCTCAACAGGCCAGGGGGAAGAGGGCCTTGGGAGCCCTGACTGCTGTGTGAGCTCTTCCCTGTGGGGTGTTTTCTCAGCCAGACCCTCCTGGGGTGAACAGCTCAGCTGGAGGCATTCTCTACCCAGGGTGCACACACTGCTTGCTTAGGTGGGTATCATGGGAGGTAGCTAAGTGGTGGCCTGGAGGGCAGGCTGGGTCATGGAAGAGAGAGGCTGGGGGTCGCCAGGGAGGGGATGCCTGAGGGTGCCCAGTTCGGAGGTGTGGATGGAGCCCAGGCCAGGAGAGGTGTCCCACACAGTGAAGCTTGCTGGCCCCTCCACTCCAGCCGGGAAGGCCCAGTTCAGAGAGTTCCCTGACAACCAAGCATCGTGGAGCTTAGGGACCAGCGGACCACCTACATCTAGGGGGGCTGAAGAGGGAATGAGGGGGAACTGTGTGGATCTCAGGATAAAGCTGCACCCCAGCAGCCCCTGAAAGCGAGGCCCCACGTGGGAAACAAGGTTTGAAGTGGACATTCGTGGCCTGATAGGCAGCCCCTTGGAATGTTAGTGTAGCTCCTAAAAAAAGCCCACAGCAGGTCTCTGGCAGGAAACGTTCCTGGGATTTCGATGAGTGCAGGCCAAAGATGAGATGAAAATGGCTGGGAGGGAGGGGAACCCAAAGGCACCTAACAAGCAGCAGGCCCACTGTCAATGGCGGTCCCAGGGGAGACCTGCACTCCCACCACTCATCCCTGGGTGCTGCCGAGAGCTGGGGATGCTGTCAAGGATGGAGGCTGGAGGGGGCATGTGAGCAGGTTAAGGAAATGTCCCTATGTCCCCACCTGCCCTGTGTGGCAGCCTAAGGGGGTCTCCTCGTTGTGGGCTCTGCTGTTCTTTGCACATGGGGCAGGTGTGCCATGGGGTCATGGCCCCTGCCGGGCACCCTTGTGCCTGGGCTGTGGTACTCACAGCGAGCTGGAAGAGCAGACGGCAGTGCCAGTATGGGGTCTGCTGTGAGATCTGGATCGCCTTCCGCAGCAGCGGCTTTGCTGCATCGACGGAATTCTGAAAGGAAATAGTAACGTTTGGGAAGCTTAAAAAAAAAAAAAAAAAAAAATGGCGGCAATCAAGACGGATTCCTTAGCAGCAGCTGCGGTGCCAGAAGGCAGTTCCTGTTCACGCTTACTAAAGGATTTTTTGGGGTTGCCAATTTACTTTATTAAAAGCAAAAAAAGATGTTTTATTGGACTCACTGGCTGGGAAGTTTCTGCATCATTCTTAAAACAACTTCTCATTCAACTGGACTGAAAGTAGTTTCAGTTCAAAATTCTAAACAGTCACATCAGTTCCCATCTTTTATGTTCTCAGAGCAGAGAGAGGCATCGGGGTGTGAAGCGCACACATTCCCTGCCGCCAAGGCCACCTTACTCGTCATCATTCCGAGGTGGGAGGAAGACAAATTTCAGCTACAACTGAAATCAGGAACCAGATTAAGAAGAGAAACTGTACAGACTTGTCAGGCGAGGAACAGGCTGATCTCTCTAACAGCCTTCCGCAGAAAAGGAAGCTGCCCGCCCTTTTTAGCAGGTGACTACCCACCAAAGCCCTGGGGCTGGGGCATAAGAGGCAGGAAGGTAATCTCAAGTGTTAACAGCCAGAAAGGCTGGGCATGGTGGTTCCTGTGTATAGTTTTGGCACTTTGGGAGGTTGAGTGGGGGAGGATTGCTTGAGACCAGGAGTTTGAGACCAACCGGGGCAAGACCATCTCTACAATAAATTAAAAAATCAGCCAGGCATGGTGGTGCACGCCTATAGTCCCAGCTACTCAGGAGGCTGAGGTGGGGGGATCATTTGAGCCCAGGAGTTCAAGGCTGTAGTGAGCCATGATTGTGCCATGCACTCCAGCCTGGGTGAGAGTGAGACCCTGTCCTTCCCCCGACCAAAAAAAATTAAAAGGAGGGATTCTGACTCCTGGAGCCCCAATGTACCGATGTGCTTTCACATCTTAGCAACTGGGAGAGATAATACTTTGCTTTCAGAAACCTGAATATGTTCTTACCTCTTGACAGTATAACTCAGACAACAGACTTGCTGCTTCAAATTTAACATCTTCGAACTGTGGGATCTAGTGATGTCCAGTTAAGGAAGTACAGACACTGTGAAAAAGGTGTTTGAAAGGGCCACAGCAGGCTGGGCGCGGTGGCTCACGTCTGTAATCCCAGCACTTTGGGAGGCCAAGGTGGGTGGATCACCTGAGGTCTGGAGTTCAAGACCAGCCTGATCAACATGGTGAAACCCCATCTCTACTAAAAATATAAAAAATTAGCTGGGTGTGGTGGTGCGCGCCTATAATCCCAGCTACTCAGGAGGCTGAGGCAGGAGAATCACTTGAACCCAGGGGATGGAGGCTGCAGTGAGAC